GCTTATTTGCCTTCTCATATAGCCCAGGCTAACCTTTGACTTCACTATGTAGCTGAGGGTAACTTTATAAACTTGTGATTCTTCTGTCTCTATTCTCCCGAGTATGGGATCACTTGCCTGTGTGGAGATGTGCTGATGTGGGTTCACGGGGAGTGTCAAGGTCATTGAGTCTGCATGGATGTGTGTGTGAACTGGTGCGTATGCATTTGTGCTGGTATGAATGGGAATCAGGGAGCCTTAGGGTTAAGTGTTTGTATGTACAGCTGTGAATCGGTGTGTGTTAGTGTGGATGTCTGCATATTACCCTATGTGAATGGGTCCTGTGTTCTCCGGGAAGTGTGCTAGTGTGTGTACCTGACTGGATGTTATTCATCGGGCATGTGGGGATACCTTTCAATCTCATGGGTTCTGTTCAGTTCTCTCTGCTGAGTCTCTCTGAGCAGCCAAATCTATAACAGTTCCAAGGGAAGAGCCTAGGGGTCCCCTTGGATTAGCGATTTCAGAGACAGCTCCACCTAAACAGGTGGGCACAGGCAGAGGTTGTGGAAGAAGGTAGCTCCCCTCAAGGAGCAGGGCACAAAACCTTTCATTCTCCCCGTTTCGTCCCCCACCCCACCTTTCTGAAGAGATACAAAATCTTTAGAGAGAATGGAAGGCAGGTTCCAGATTCAGCCCCTCTAGTGTAGGGAAGCCCACCCTGGATCTCTCAAGGGAGGGAGGAAGGGAAGGGAGTGGTCCCCGTGGTCCCCGTGGTCCCTGCGGTTCAGCCCAGTGCTGGCATTGGAAGATCAGAAAGGCACCATCCACCCTTCAAGGGACGTCCATCTCAGAGCTCAGCGTCTGGGTGGCCATGGGCGGAGGCTGAGGGGCCCCCAGGGTGGTGGGGGGTGGTGGATAGAAACCAGATGCCTAGGGGATTTATACTGGAAGGGCCAGAGCCGCAGCCTCTACCCGCCCCTGCCACATGGCGCCTCTGCCTGGGCTGCCCCACCCCCTGGGAGGCTGGGCTGAGGGAGGCCTGTGAGGGTAGATGTAGGTCCTTGGTAAGGGATTCCTTTTGCTGCCCCCAGCCCCTGAGGGCACCGGAGAGTCGGTGGGGAGCAGGGATACCAGGTCCACAGCTGGCTTGCACTACTGTCTTTAACTGGCATTCGAGGGAAGTCAGAAACCAGGGCCTGAGGGCACTGGGTGATGGTGGCATCTCTGAGCTTTAAGCAGCCCTTTGCCCGGCTCCAGGAGGCTTGTCGGTGTGCTTTTTCTCTACCAGGTTTCTGGCTCTTACATCTTCCGGGGACCCTGCTCCTTTTGTTTCTTTTCCTAACATTGTTTGGATTTGACTACCTGTATCCCTTCCCACAAGGCCGACCCTTGCCTTAGCTCAACCCCTGAGTCTTTCCTTTCATCTCTTTATCCTTCCCTTGCTCCTTCACTCTTCCGTGTCCAGCCAGGTCTGAGTGCAGACTGCATCTCTTACTTTGTCCCTAGGGTCTAGAGTTGCCTCCTGCCTCAGTTTCCTGACTGGTGTATCCTCTGTTTGTCTAGTGATGCAGTAATTTCTGGAAAGCTTCCTTTTCTTCTTTGCAGTTTCTTAGCTAAAGCCCTAGAAATTCAGCTAACACTTTGCCTCAGAGTCCTGCTCATCACCCCACCCCCCATGGACAACTACGAGGTCATAGGAACATCCCACCACGGGCACTTCCTTTTGGGCAGACGGGTGGGGTGGCCCGTGTAATCATCGGACACAATTATGCCCTATTTATACTCCGTCCCCGCCCCCCACCTGCTGGCAGCTTTACCTTCCACCTCCTCCGGACCGGTCACTCCTCCAGCTTCCCTCCCCCCCCTTCTGAATCATTGTGTCCCATTTTTGTTTCTTTGAGTTTCTTTCTGTTTCTTTTAAGGTGTTTTTTGTTGTTGCTGCTTTTTCTTTTGTGCTCTCTGTTTTTGTTTTTTGGATTTTTTTTTTTTGTCCTTTTCAAAGCCAGGTGTCTGAAGTGTTTGTTTGTTTGTTTTGTTTCTTTTCTTTCTTTCTTTCCTTCCTTTCTTTTTTTTCCTATTGAGACAGGGTTTTTCTTTTTTCTTTTTTTTTTTTTTAAAGGTTTATTTATTTATATGAGTACACTGTAGCTGTCTTCAGACACACCAGAAGAGGGCACTGATCTCATTACAGATGGTTGTGAGCCACCATGTGGTTGCTGGGAATTGAACTCAGGACCTCTGGAAGAGCAGTCAGTGCTCTTAACCGCTGAGGCATCTCTCCAGCCCGAGACAGGGTTTTTCTATATAGCCCCGGCTGTTCTAGAACTTGATGTGTAGACCATACTGGCTTCGAACTCACAGAGATCCTCCTGCCTCTGCCTCTGCTTCCTGAGTGCTGGAATTAAAGGAATTAAGTTTCAGGCAGGGCTACATAAAAAATACCATACTGGCCTTTTACAATTTTTATTTACTTTATCTGTCTATTTATCTATCTATCATCTATTTATTTATTGAAACAGGGCCTCACTATGTGTCCTTGGCTGGCCTGGAACTTGCCATGTTGACCAGACTGGCCTCAAAATCATAAAGATCTGCCTGCTTCTGCTTCCCAAGTACTGGGATTAAAGATGTGCACCACCACACCCCAGCTCCTCTTCTATGCTAATACCTTTCAGGTTCTCTTGGACTGCTTCCCTCGCTCTGTGTGTCCTCTGGTCCTTCTGTTTTTTTTTTTTTTTTTTTTTTTTTTTTTTTTTTTTTTTTTTTTTTTTCTTTTGCTTCACTCCTTTGTCTGACAGCTACCTGGCTCCAATACTTTCCTTGAATGTTGGGCTCACAGGGTTTCTTTGTGAAATTGTGTGTGTGAGTGTGTGTGTGTGTGTGTGTGAGAGAGAGAGAGAGAGAGAGAGAGAGAGAGACAGACAGACAGACAGACAGACAGTGGATTAAATTCAACCCAGGGTTTAGCATGCACTTTGTCACTGAGTTATATCCTCAGCCCTCCTGGGAGTTGGAACCCAGAACTCTTGAACCCTACCTGAATGCTGCTTCTGCTTGCTGCTTAAACTGCCATGTTCCTGAGCCTCCATCTCCTCTCCATCTCTCTGGTTTTTCTTTGAAGAGCTGTAAGGTCAAAAGCAACAAGAAAGTGGGTACTCTTCCCCATGAAGAGAAATTGAGGGTTGCTAGAGAGTAAAGAGTGGGAAGGGTCAGGCAAAATTGGCTGAGAACAGAGGGTGATGGTGGGCTGCCCTGCAGTGATTGGGCTGCCCTGCAGTCCTCCTCCAGACCTCCTCCCAAGACAGCCCCGCTGTGGAACCACTTAGCTATCCAGCCTTCTCCCATGAACTTATCCTAGGGTCGAGGTATCAGTTAATAAATATTTTAAACTTCCCTCTCCCATCTTGACTGAGATTCCTTTTTCTTTCTCATTGGGATTGGATGCCACAGTTGGAAGTCCTGATTAAGCACTAGCCTAAGTTCTTTCTGGAGTAAGCAGAGGGAGTTGCTCCCATTGAGAAGAGAGCAGGAGATCCCACCCAGGGAAGCAAGATGACTTAAGAGAGAAGCTACCTGGCCGGGCGGTGGTGGCGCACGCCTTTAATCCCAGCACTTGGGAGGCAGAGGCAGGCGGATTTCTGAGTTCGAGGCCAGCCTGGTCTACAGAGTGAGTTCCAGGACAGCCCGGGTTACACAGAGAAACCCTGTCTCAAAAACCAAAAAAAAAAAAAAAAAAAAAAAAAAAAAGAAATTAAAAGAGAGAAGCTACCTATTGAAGGGTGGAAATTAAATCTCTAGCTAGGAGGGCGTCAGGGATAGCACCTGGTGACTCGGAAGGAATGATAGAGACCAGAGTGTTCCTTTTGGGGGAGATTGATCCTAAGAGTCTACGTGTGGGTGTGAATGAATTGCTCTGCCCCTCAGATCTGCTTGCCTCAAATCATCTCCGGTTCCAGGATCTGTCCTGCAAACTGAGGTGGGCCTAGGTCTCATTGCCTAACAGTGAAATTGAGGCTGCCCTCCTCTGCAAACCACAACAAGGTCTTCCCGCTCTCCATCACCTGCTCCAGGCTGGCTCTAGATTGTAACTCATTGACACTGAAACACTGACATTGCAGTAGAAAAAAGCACACTTGGCATATCATCCCCCCTACTCCACACAACACACACACATACACACACACATACATATACACATGCATATACATACACACAAATGCATGCTCACTCATGCACACACACATACACATACATATATACACACAGGCACACACACATAGGCATATACATGCACACACACGCACACATATGCATACACATATATACAAATGCATACTCACAATGCACACACATATGCATACACACTCACATATGCACACACATACACACATATACACACAGACACACACGCATACTTGTTCATACAATACATATACACACACAGGTACACACAAATGCACACTCTCACATACACACACATACATATACACACATGCACACATATACAGATGCACATATACACATGTGTGTGCGCACGCACCCATATGCAAACGCACAGACACACACACACACACACACGGGAACACACATGTGTGCACATGCATGCACGCGCGCATGCGCGCGCGGGCACACACACACACACACACACACGCACGCACATGCACATTGCTATTCTGATCTAGTGGTGGCTGAATGAACAAAAAGTCTCCATCACCAGCTTGGGGGGTGGTAGGTGGTAGTGTAGGTGCCCCCATTGTGTGCTCGCTGTATATGATGACTTTGTGTTCATTCATCACAGTGACAGTCCCCATGTGGGTAGCAGAGAGTACGTATGCGTGCATCATCCCCGTGTTTGCTCATGAGTGTGTGTGTCAGTGTGTTCCAGTCTTTCTGTGTGAGTGTCGTCCCCAATCCCCCTCCTCCCCCCCAGATCTCTAATTAGTGGTTTGGGGTTTGTTCCTTTTCCCTCCTGTTCCTTCCCTCAGCAGCGCGGCAGCGGCGGCGGCGGCAGCCTCGGTGGTAGCAGCAACAGCAGCAACAGAAGCAGCAGCAGCAGCAGCAGCAGCAGCGACAGAAGCTGCCGCGCCACTGAGTAGCAGCAAGGACTCTTTGAGTCAAGAGTAGGATTGTAGGATTGGATCTGAGTGGGAACGAGAGTGAGCCGGTCTGAGAGAGGAGCGGATCCCTCCCAGCGCCCTCGGGGCCACCCATTGCCAGTAATCTTCGTGCCAGACCTCTTGAGAGGAGACGGGACAGCCAACCCTAGCCTTCCCAGGTACAGATTCTGGGCAGCTCTGGGGCACTGCCCATAGATGCCTATTGGATTTCTAGGGTATGTGGGACACCTGGGTCTACCAACCCCTTTCACCTTTCCCCGTAGCGCCCCCAAGGAAGCTCTGACAACTTGCCCGTATTCCTGCTTCCCACCCGATCCCTGGGCACCCCCTTTTCTCCTCTCCCTCCCAGATCCCTTCTTTGGGGGGAGCTCAGCAAATGGAGCAGGAAATTTGGACCCTCTGCCTCCCTCTCTCGCCTTCCTCATTGGATCCGGAGTCTTCTCCGCTGGGAAAGCTGTAATTAGAGGGAGGATCCCTACAGACAGAGAGCAGCCCCCCCCCCCAGTTCCTTCTAACTTTAGATCTCTTCTCTCCCATTCTCCCATTCTCCCTCCCTCTCCCTTTTCCCTCTCCCACTGGCTCCTCGGTTCTCTCCATCTGCCTGACTCCTTGGGACCCGGTCCCCAGCCTGAGGATGGCGTCCTCTCTGCTTGAGGTAACTGTTCCCTCCTCTTCCTTAAGAAACCAGCTACAATCTTCCTGGTTCTAATCCATGCCTACCCCACCCCCTCGGCTCACAGAGACAGTAGCTGTAATGCTAGTCACTTCCAGTGTCCTTCTCATGAAGAGGAGGAGTAAGGTCCTGGGAGGGGCAAGCAGAGGGTACAAGCAAGGAAGGGAAACAGAGCCAGGGGTCAGAGGGCAGTCAAAGAAGAAAGCCAGGACTCCTAAGGCTAGCTAAGCCACTAACCGTGGAGAAAGGAAGGAGAAGAGATAGGCAGGGAGAACAGGTAGGCTGACAGCCGATGGTGTCTGAGCAGGGATGGAGAAGCCTTTGGCTACTGGTCTTTGGGTTAGGGGGACCCGTGTCTAGGGCTCCCACATTAAGCAAGATCTGGTCAGGTCTGTGTTTAGGAAAGAGCCTGGCCTGTGAGCTGGTGTGTGAGAGAGAAGGAGGGCAGCCCTGCATGTGGGGGGCTGGCCAGGGGAACTGAGCCCAGGACTGAGAGGGAAGCAAGGAGGAGGGACAGGGTCTGAGGCCGCTTGCCCGGCTCACAAATATTTAGCTTTCAGCCAAAGACAAACTAAGCTCTATTTTGGGAGTGGGAGGCTCCAGGGAGGACTGGGCCACTTCCCCTCCAGGCTGGGACCCCAGCAGCGGTCCCTTGCCTCTCTGGTTCTGAAGATGGAGAGAACCAGGGTACTATGTGGGTGTAGGATCTTGAGAAACCACTAACTTTGTCAGGGCTTCTAGGGGACCCAAGGCACAGAGTCGGAAGGAAGGACTCAAACCACTCAGAGCCTGAGTTCTTCTGTATCTTCTGATGTTTGTGTCATCATCTCTAGGCTGCTTTCAGGGTGTCTCTGGAGGATCTGGGGTGAGACAATACACCTTAAATGCCAGTGCCCTCCAGTATTGTCCTACAGAATTGTCCTTATTCTTGAGGTCTTATTTCAGTCCAATATAGTGACACAAATCTTTAATCTCTTTAATCGAAACACCTGGGAGGCAGAAGCAGAAGCAGGTGAGTTCAAGGCCAGCCTGATCTACATAGAGAGTTCCAGGATAGCCAGAGTGACATCAAGAAACCCTGTCTCAAAAACAAAGCAAAACAACAAAATCTCCGTTCTGGGTGCCCTAACTCAGGTCCCAGGAGTGACTAGTCTTTGCTGATTGACTCATCAGAAGGCTGACTAGTTCAACCTGAAGGAGAGGGTGTGTGTGTGTGTGAAACCTGAAGGAGAGGGTGAGTGTGTGTAAGTGTGTGTGTGTGTGTGTGTGTGTTTGCCAGCAGGAGGCTTTTGGACTTAAGGGTCCACTGACTTACGTGTGTTAGATACAGTTATACACATTGCTGACTGTGTGTGCCTGGGTGTGTGTGTGTGTGTGTGTGTGTATAGCACATAGGTATGCACAAGAGTGCATATACGCATACAAGTTGAATTGTCTTAGTACTTAGTCCAAACAAGAAATGGTGTCTGCAAGGCTATGAGACAATGAGTTTATGACTGAGTTTGAGGTAGTGGCGTACAAGCCTCTGGGTGGACCGGCTCTCTAACCAGATATCCCAGGTACAGAGATCTACTTTCAGCTGCATTGTGTACAAATTGTTACCATGCCCTTTTCCCCAACAGACTCTAACTTTACTTATTATTATGTATATGTGTGACTATGGGCACATGTGTACCATTGCTCCTGTGTGGAGGTCAGGGGAAAACGTTTGGGAATCAGTTTTCTAATTCCATCTTGGATTCTGGGAATCAAATTCAAGTGCGCAGGCTTTCCTGGGAAGCTGCTGAACCGTTATCATTATTGTTATTGTTGTTATTAATTATTTTTACTCAACAGGTTTTATGTTGAGCCACCACTGAAACAATAGTGTTGAGAAAGTAAGAGGAAAGAGATGCATATAAGTCCTGGGTCCGCCCAGGGCAGGGACTGGTGTCAATGGATATCGTGCCTGCCCTGCCAACGTGGCACTAGTGCCTGGGGGAGGGGCAGTTCAGAGACTTTCTGGAAAGACACAGGCTTGGGGAAGCATTTGGCAATAGAATGTATCATGGTACTATAGAAACCTGACGCTAGGCTTTCAGGTCCCCCTACCCCCTGGGAATAGGAGATTCCCTAACGTAAAGACACCCTGGTCTCTACATTTCTTTTCTTTTTCTTTCTTTTTAAGTATTTATTATCTATTTATGTATTTATTAATTTTGAGACAAGGTCTTTCTTCATATCCCTGGCTGTCCTGGAACTTATTACGTAGACCATGCTGGCCTCAAACTCACAGAGATCTGCCTAGCTCTGCTTCCCCAGTGTTGCGTTACCTGGCAGTTTCTGTTTCTTTTACCTAGTTTTTAGGATCCTGGGTTCTTTATCTCCTTCCGGATCACTCTGTCTGTTATGAGTCCATTCTCCAGCAGTGGGAGGAGCTTGGGATTCAGAGAGGGACTCAGCTGTTGGGGGTAAGGGGATTTGGGAAGAGGGAGAGATGGGGGGGGGGGACATGAGGCAAGGAACTGGGAAACTCTAGAGACAGATACAGCTCAGTGCTAGGGTGGTTGCTCAGCAGGGAAGGGACCTGGAGTTCAATTCCTAGCATAGTAAAAGATACTTATAATAAAATAAACTAATTTTTAAGAACTATAAAGTTGGGTGAATGAAGGAAGGTGGGAGAAAGCTGGGAACTAGGAACAAGGACCCTGGGTATTCAACATATGTAATGGCGGTCTCATCTCCCATCCTTCCTCCTTCCTCCCCTCCCTCCCTGCCATCCTTCAAGACAGGGTTTCTTTGTATAGCCCTGGCTGTTCTGGAACTTGCCCTATAGACCAGGCTAGCCTCAAACTCAGAGATCTGCCTGTCTCTGCCTCCTGAGCCCTGGGATTAAAGGTGTGGGCCATCACCTCCCAGCTCAGCTATTTTCAGTTTTTGAGACAAGGTCCCACTAGGAATGTCCTGGAACTCAGGGTTAGCGCTAGGGTTATAGTTAGATTACTTGGACCACAGAGATCTGCCCTCTTGCCTCTGAGTGATGGGATTATGGGCATGCACCACCATGGGAGGCTAAACCTTTTATTTTCTAGGGTGGAGGAACAAGGATAGGGACCAGGAAACTGGAAAGTGGGTATCCTGGGTACTACAAGGCAATACATACGATCAGGTATAGGAACGCATGCTCGGATCCCGGAACCCCTTTCCTTACCCTTCACAGAGAGAGCAATCAGCCAGAAAAGGAAACTGAGGATATGAAGGGACTTAACCTTCATTGCTTGGCTCTCAGAACAGTCCAGTACTTTGGTTTTTCTTTCTGGCCTTCAGGGACGGGGTTGGCCTTGCTCCCCAAAGTCGGGGTCTCATGTCAGCCTAGGGTTGGCTGTCTTCTTTCACCCCTCCCTACCTCCCCACAGATGGGTGGGGTCCCTGGGCTTGGCTGAGGCCCTTGTGGCTACAGTGTGAGGGCCGGGCAGGCGGGGGACCGCGTCGGCGTTTTTAAAAATAAACCGACCGCAGGGAAGCCACCGGAGCTGGAGCCGAGCAGGGCCATGCTGGGCAGAGGGGGGAGGGGGCAGCAGCCAAGGGGAGAAGGAGGGAGGAGTGGCCTGGTCGGGGGTTTTCTGGGGCCCATCGCCATGGTGGGTTTCTCTTGGGTGGGAAGCCTACGCTGTCCTCCTGCCTGTTTCTTCACCTCCTGTGTTTTCCTTAGCTTTTCTGGCCCAGGATCTCTTACCACCTCTCCTTTTGTTTATTCTGCTTTCCTAGCTCTCCCTCCCTTTTGTCTTTTAAAGTTCCTGTCCATTTCTGCCTCGTAATGCAAACTTCTCTCCCTTAAGGTCCCTCCTTCTCTGTCCCGCAGAGAATTGCATGGCTGTTCCTCAGGCACAGCGGACTTTGTGCCCCCACGCTTTTGAATCTCATGTGTCTTTGACCTCCCATGCTGCTACCTCTCCTTCATACTAAGTTTGACTCCTGCTCCTACCAGTTTTCCATTGGCTTGGGGCCATTAGAGGATCCAGGGAAAATCTTCCTGGGAAAGCCCAGGTGTGTACTGTTGGACAAGGTTTTGGTGGCTCTTGTTGGGAGCCCATAGAATTGGATTGGCAGACCTGTGAGAGAGAGAGAGAGAGAGAGAGAGAGAGAGAGAGAGAGAGAGAATTTTTCT